CCACACATGGTGTAGTAATATTGGATGTCGGCTAAGGTCACCTTAGCATTTTCTCGGCATGCTAAGGCTATGATACCATTAATGACTCTGTATGAGTTAATGGTTAACTGCATCGGGTTAAGCTTGTAATAATGGGGGACTTCTCGAAATAGGATGCCTAGCGGAAGCTTGAGTCCGCACTCAATAAAGGCAACAACAGGGAAAGGCATGAGGTTTACATCGGGCATGATGGAGTCGTTTTTCCCGGCCAACCTCAGATGAACATCGCCCGGGATGTCAAACTCCTGCCGGAAGTGCTTTAATTTGGTCGGAATATCTACCTTATGCTTCCACATACCCATGACGTCGGCTTAAATTCAGAAGTTGGATTCAGAAAGAAAGTGTTTTGTAAAGGTTTTAGAGACCTCGGCTAAAAACCTAAAAAATGCACTATGGGCAAAATTTGTGGGGATTCTAAAGGGAACTCGTTTTGATTTTTCCTGAGGTTTGTGGGTTCTACAAGCAAATCCCAAACCTAGATCTATGGAAACAAAGATTGAAGGCACGAATCTGGAAAAGACACAGAAAACAGAAAACAAAGAACGTGTTTCAGAATCAAGAAACAGTGATGAACTATCAAGAACACTGTGATGAAGTGTGCACAAGGGTGTGAGGTCAAAAACAATGACAAAAGTGAACAAATTTGTGAGCAATGTGTGTATTCAAGACACAAATTAGGCAAAAGCAAAATCGTAAAATAAATGTGCTTAGATACGTGATTTATAAATCAAAAACTTGAGCAAAACAGCAATGGCAACAAATAATAAGGTAAAGCTTTCTCAAAAACTGGAAACCAGGAGGGAACAAAAGCTTACCAGAGGAGTGAAGCCGGTGTTGAAGATGCTAAAGTTAGGAGACGGTTACATTTAGAAAAAGGACAGCAAAAGCTTCACCAGAGGAGAGGAAAGAAAGCTGTTACAGAGCTTGAAAATCTGGAAACAATGGCGTATTTTGGAGAGAGAGAGAGAGAGAGAGTTGAGAGCCTAAGAATAAGGATGCCAAAGTGAAGAGACGGAGAGAGAGAAATTGGTTTTGATCAAAACACGGAGAATAGCGGCAAAACACCATCAATGAGCCTAGAACAACGTATTGATCAGACGGCACACGCAGGCGTGAGACGACTTACAGGCGCGTATCGAGTACGGTCCAGTAGGGGACAAATGCGTGGTAGAAACGGATGATCTATTTTGCATGACAACTCATACGCGTGATAAAACTCTTGGAGTTCTTGGTTTAATGAAGCAATGACATCAGCTGATAGGAAAATCTCGGCTGAATAAACTTGAATAAACTTGGTTAAAAATACTAAAGCCTTAATGAAATAGACTACAGGACCTGGTTGTGAGAAGCCGGTGTATTATGACCTCGGCAAACGGATGATGCATTAAGATGGCCGACATGAACGATATAGGTTTCATCACCTCAGGATGTCGAGGTAATAGAACCTAGGGGGCTTGTGGGGATATATTTTCTAAGTACCAACACATGGCCAAGGTGACACCGACGTGTCAGCCGGGGTGCCACGTGTCCTGGTCGTGACGCCGAGGTGATCTCGGCTAGGCCGAGGTTATCTCCGAAGATATCAGAATCTGGGATAAGCGGATAAGGGACAAGAGCCCTAGAATGAGGAAGGACTTCAGCCTGAATAAGGATAAAGCTCTTAGAGCATTTATCTTTATCTATTGGAGAGACCAAGCTAAACACTAGGCAGAAGTCTATTGAAGCTAGGCTTCTATTGGGACTAGGATTGTGTTGGCTATAAAAGAAAGGCACCCCTATGGGTCTAAGGTACGCAAGTTATATTCAGAATAGTGAATAAGGACTATTGATTATCTTTGAGAGATATTTGATTACTGACTTAATCATCGGAGTGCCCCCGGGTGGACGAACCACCGCCAGAATCTCTTCTTCTGTTGCAGGTCGTTCGGGCTTATCCTATTCTGCCAGTGCTCTCCAGTTGAATATTGAGTTGGCAGTGTGGTCGGAAATTCACTCACAGAGGAATATGATTAAAAATTGAAAAGTAATTACCTGTTATTATATTATTAATTTTTTTATTGTTATATATATATATATATTTATAAAAAAAATTAAAATATTAATTAAAATAATCACCTTCCAAATGAGTTGTTTCTTTCTAGACCACATTCATTACGCTTTTTCTTTTTACAAAGTTAGGGACTCTCCTTTCTCTCTTATGTTCGAGGCAACAAAACAAATTTCCTCATTAAGGCGTCTCTTTTACTTGAGGCTCTATCGAAATTTGTATGCTGAAGATATAAGAAATGGCCGGTGGACAAATTTCTGCAACAAATCAAATTTCGCAGGTGGATGGTAGTCGGCAGCGGCAGTTGATGGGAGTGAGATATAACAGATAAGTAATATTGAACAAGTACATGACATATATACAGATCGTGAGATATTTGAATAGATAACTGACATTTAAAAAGATAGACATATAAATAAATTTGAACAAATAGATATTTTTTGGACAAATAATAACCCTTTTATTTTGAAAATGAATACAAACATCTCCCATCTCATTATATTTGAATTTTTTTTTTGGTATAAATTTTCTTTTATATAACACTACTCTTTTCTAAATTTTCTTACAACCATTGAATTATGTAGTAGATATCTTTTCTTACAACCACAACCATTCAATGAAGAGAATATAAATTCTGGATCAGTTAGTATATTAATAAGCAAAGCCCACCACTTTTCTCTCTCTCTCTCTCTCGCTCTCTCTCTCTCTTCAGTTTCCTTTTCCTCACCATGGATTCAACTCCAGCTGAAGAAATAGTCCACGATTTTCCATCCCACGTTCGAGTTTACAAAGATGGCAGAGTAGTACGATTCAAAGGCACGGATACTGTCCCTCCCTCAACCAATCCCGACACCGGCGTCCAATCCAAAGATGTCGTAATCGATCCAGAGACTGGTTTATCTGCCAGGCTCATAATCCCCAACAATCCACTTCACAACAAGCTTCCTATTCTAGTCTACTTCCATGGCGGAGGCTTCTGCACCGAAACCGCCTTCACTCCCACATACCATAACTATCTCAATTCACTTGTGGCCGAAGCCAGTGTCGTTGTCGTCTCTGTCGATTACAGAAGAGCCCCTGAGCACCCTCTCCCAATCGCTTACGATGATTCTTGGGCCGCTGTCAAGTGGGTTGCTTCTCACTCCTCGGCTGGTGGTGGTGAGATATGGCTAAAGGAGTATGTTGATTTTGATCGGGTATTCTTTGCAGGAGATAGCGCAGGGGGTAACATAGCACACAACATGGGAATTCGGGTCGGATCGCATGGGCTGGATGGTGTGAAGTTTGTTGGGATGGTTTTAATCCATCCATTTCTTGGAGGGAAAAGTCCAATTGGTTCTGAAGGTAGTAATAGTGAGATAATTAATAGTGAGCTAATTATTGGGAAAGAGGTTGTTGATAAATTATGGCTCTTTGTGTCCCCGTCGTCTAGCGGGTCTGATGACCCTTTAATTAATCCGGTTGTGGATCCAAAGTTTTCAAGCCTGGTTTGTGACAAGGTGTTGGTATGTGTAGCTGAGAAAGATTTTTTTAAAGATAGGGGTTGGTATTACAAGGAGGAATTGGGGAAGAGTGGGTGGGGAGGAGTGGTGGAGATTATGTATACGTTATGTGTAGAGGAGGAGATGGGGGATGTACTCCGCGGTTTAGGGGAAGATGGGGGATGTACCTCTAAACCGGATAGTGTTGGGAGAAGATAGGGGATGAACTCCGTAGACACAGCTCATATGCTTGTCTAGAGAAATGAAGATAGAGCTCATATGCTTATCTTCGAGAAGTGTAGATACAGCTCTTATGCTTGTCTAGAGAAGTGGAGATAGGGCTAGTATGCCTGTCTTTGTGAAATGTGGATGTAGCTTATAGGCTTATCTGTGAATGTGGGATATAGTTGTTATACATATCTGTTGAAATGATGATGTAGCTATTATGCTTATCTATTGAAAAAGGGAAAATGAAAAGTAACTTGGACTCATAAGTCGTATGACATAAGACGTGATTTATGTGGATGTATCAGTGTTGGCCATCTATCAATTGCTAATCTTTTAGTCATTGTTCATGGTTGGTTTAGTATATTTCTACTGGGCTGTGACTCACCCTATATGGGAATATCATTTTCAGGTGCAGGTAGCATGCCACCTCCAAGGACGTAGCTTGGGAGGCTAGAGGCAGGCGGATTCTTTTGTTGTTTTAATTTTGATGTATTACATGTAATCTCAAGCCAAGGGCTTAAACTGTAAATGAGTTAGTACTCTTTTGTTGTAACCAAGTGTTGACTTGGAAAGCTGTAAGCCCGTAGGGCATTTGCTTTTGTTGTTAACATGTAATACTTTTGTAAGGAACTACTCTGATGAATAGAAGAGCGTTTATCTTTATTGCCAATTCATGTCTTTATTGATGAGTTTAATGTTATTATTTTGGGGGCGTGACATGCACTGCTTTATTTATTTGAAATCTTAATTCATCAACATCTATCTAACTAATAATATGTTAAACAATAGAAATTAGATGAAATATGTTTCTTATTTGTCCCTAACAATCAAGTTGAAAACAGAGACAATAACAACTCAAATGGCTTATAAACCCTTTGTAAATTAGTTGTAAAAGGAAGAGGAGAACCCTCTCTCATTCTTTTGATTGCTCAAGCCAAAAAAAAAAAAAAAACCAACAACAACAAAAAAAATAAACTAAGCAGCAACTCTAACTCCTCATCCTCATCCACCTTAACAAGCAAAAACTCCAAAACTTCTTCATAGATGTATGATTTATAAGAAAGATGCAAACAAAAAAACATTCTTCTTGACTTTCTCCATTAGTAGCTATGCTCTATGAAAAATAAAATGATGGCCTCAATTTAAAGACAATCAAGAGGAGATTATGCCATTTACTTGGTTACTTGGTTACTTGGTTTTTCAGTTCAAAACAGAATAGGGTATGATGCTCTAAATAGAACAAGTGCACTGCCTTTTGGAAGGCTAGAGTTCCGAACAACTTTTGCAAATCCATTGATTCCCCAACTGACGCCCCATGAGTTCATGATCCACCAGAAATTTTTCTTAGTCTCTTCATCACTTCCGTAACCCACTACAAGGATGGCATAGGTACCTTTCCTTTCTACCTTTGAATCACATGGTGGTCCTTCATATATGCCCTAATCATAATCATAAAATAAGATAATAAAAAAATCAATATAACATAACAACATTATATAGAGAGACAACAATTAAATTAATAAAACAATAAATCATTAAATTTGTTTTCAAACCTCTTTGTATTCCTTTAATTCATCGGTGATATAAATTGCCGCACTCACTGGTTGATTCTTAACAGCCTCCATAAGTCCAATCTCATCTCCGTTAACTATCTTTTTGAAATTTTTAATCTTCAAATCCCACTACATATTACACACATACAAAAAATCACTACAAGAAATTTCACTTTTGGCGACTAAAATTTTAGTCGCCAAAAGCCTTATTTTAGTCACCAATTACTTTTGGCGACTAATATATTTGGTTGCCAGTTTGGTCACCAATAGTTCGTTGGGGAAGACAATCGGCGACTAAAATTTTTTTGGTAGCCAAAAGTGAAAGTGACCTATTGGCGACTAAAACTTTAGTCGCCACATATTTTTTAAAAATAATTAAATATATATATATATATATATATATATTTTTACTTTTAGCGACTAAATTATTTAGTAGCCAATTGAGCATGTATGTTTGGCAACAAAAGTTTCACTTTTTGAGAATTGGCGAATAAAAATTTAGTAGCCAAAAGTTTCACTTTTTGACAATTGGCGACTAAAATTTTAGTAGCCAAAAGCCAACCTGTGATATTTGTTTAGTCGCCGAAATGTCTCATTTAGTTTTTATAATTTGTTCTGTAATATTTTTGCACCACCTATAACCTGTGCATATACAAAATTATTCATCCATCCATTCAATTCTCAACCATTCAAAAACAAGTATTTCTCCACAACCTGTAGCATTCAATTTTCAACCATATACAAAACTTAACTATTAACTGTACATATCAAAGAAAATAAGAATCCATAAACATGGTATAATCCAACAAATACATATACTATCCAAACCAGCAATTAAAATCCAAATTAAATAAAAAAAATCTTAATAACAAAACATATTAGGTGTACATGTTTTCCATAAACAAAAATTTAATGTAAATTGCACCCATGCAAACATCATCAATCTGGCCCAAAAACATCACTTTGTATCCGTGCCAACATCATCAATCTGTAACAAAAACCAGTGAGGTAACTGATAAAAAATGTAGAGCTTGATTTTTCTTTAAACAGAATGTGGTTCAATTTATTTAACAAGTAATTTAGCTTATGGAGAAGGAAAAATTAGATAACTAACTCAGTTGAATTTAGATGAATACCACAAGTAATGCAAGGCATGCGTATAGCGACCCCGGTCTTTTCCCATTTGACTATTGTGTCCGGACATAGGTTCCGTTGATTCTGTCATTGTATAATGGTTGTTGTTGTCCCTTATTTTCTCATTTGGAATTATAGGATGTGTTGGGCAGGTTTGTTTCAGGTTGGTTGGGTTTAGATATCAAGTGTTGCTGTCCAGTATTTTGGATCTTCGCTCGAGTGAGGAGTTTGTCGCTCGAGCGAGCTGTTGTTTTTGGTTCTTCGCTCGAGCCGGGGTTTGGTAGCTCGAGCGAGAGGTTGCGTCTGATTTTGGACCTGTAGCTGTGCATTCTTGGCTCGAGCGAGATTTTCTCAAAAGTGACCTATTGGTGATTAAAACTTTAGTCGCCATATATTTTTTAACAATAATTAAATATATATATTTTTTACTTTTAGCGACTAAATTATTTGATAGCCAATTGAGCTTGTATGTTTGACAACTAACTATTTGGTAGCCAAAAGTGACCTATTGGTGATTAAAACTTTAGTCGCCATATATTTTTTAACAATAATTAAATATATATATTTTTTACTTTTAGCGACTAAATTATTTGATAGCCAATTGAGCTTGTATGTTTGACAACTAACTATTTGGTAGCCAAAAGTGACCTATTGGTGATTAAAACTTTAGTCGCCATATATTTTTTAACAATAATTAAATATATATATTTTTTACTTTTAGCGACTAAATTATTTGATAGCCAATTGAGCTTGTATGTTTGACAACTAACTATTTGGTAGCCAAAAGTGACCTATTGGTGATTAAAACTTTAGTCGCCATATATTTTTTAACAATAATTAAATATATATATTTTTTACTTTTAGCGACTAAATTATTTGATAGCCAATTGAGCTTGTATGTTTGACAACTAACTATTTGGTAGCCAAAAGTGACCTATTGGTGATTAAAACTTTAGTCGCCATATATTTTTTAACAATAATTAAATATATATATTTTTTACTTTTAGCGACTAAATTATTTGATAGCCAATTGAGCTTGTATGTTTGACAACTAACTATTTGGTAGCCAAAAGTGACCTATTGGTGATTAAAACTTTAGTCGCCATATATTTTTTAACAATAATTAAATATATATATTTTTTACTTTTAGCGACTAAATTATTTGATAGCCAATTGAGCTTGTATGTTTGACAACTAACTATTTGGTAGCCAAAAGTGACCTATTGGTGATTAAAACTTTAGTCGCCATATATTTTTTAACAATAATTAAATATATATATTTTTTACTTTTAGCGACTAAATTATTTGATAGCCAATTGAGCTTGTATGTTTGACAACTAACTATTTGGTAGCCAAAAGTGACCTATTGGTGATTAAAACTTTAGTCGCCATATATTTTTTAACAATAATTAAATATATATATTTTTTACTTTTAGCGACTAAATTATTTGATAGCCAATTGAGCTTGTATGTTTGACAACTAACTATTTGGTAGCCAAAAGTGACCTATTGGTGATTAAAACTTTAGTCGCCATATATTTTTTAACAATAATTAAATATATATATTTTTTACTTTTAGCGACTAAATTATTTGATAGCCAATTGAGCTTGTATGTTTGACAACTAACTATTTGGTAGCCAAAAGTGACCTATTGGTGATTAAAACTTTAGTCGCCATATATTTTTTAACAATAATTAAATATATATATTTTTTACTTTTAGCGACTAAATTATTTGATAGCCAATTGAGCTTGTATGTTTGACAACTAACTATTTGGTAGCCAAAAGTGACCTATTGGTGATTAAAACTTTAGTCGCCATATATTTTTTAACAATAATTAAATATATATATTTTTTACTTTTAGCGACTAAATTATTTGATAGCCAATTGAGCTTGTATGTTTGACAACTAACTATTTGGTAGCCAAAAGTGACCTATTGGTGATTAAAACTTTAGTCGCCATATATTTTTTAACAATAATTAAATATATATATTTTTTACTTTTAGCGACTAAATTATTTGATAGCCAATTGAGCTTGTATGTTTGACAACTAACTATTTGGTAGCCAAAAGTGACCTATTGGTGATTAAAACTTTAGTCGCCATATATTTTTTAACAATAATTAAATATATATATTTTTTACTTTTAGCGACTAAATTATTTGATAGCCAATTGAGCTTGTATGTTTGACAACTAACTATTTGGTAGCCAAAAGTGACCTATTGGTGATTAAAACTTTAGTCGCCATATATTTTTTAACAATAATTAAATATATATATTTTTTACTTTTAGCGACTAAATTATTTGATAGCCAATTGAGCTTGTATGTTTGACAACTAACTATTTGGTAGCCAAAAGTGACCTATTGGTGATTAAAACTTTAGTCGCCATATATTTTTTAACAATAATTAAATATATATATTTTTTACTTTTAGCGACTAAATTATTTGATAGCCAATTGAGCTTGTATGTTTGACAACTAACTATTTGGTAGCCAAAAGTGACCTATTGGTGATTAAAACTTTAGTCGCCATATATTTTTTAACAATAATTAAATATATATATTTTTTACTTTTAGCGACTAAATTATTTGATAGCCAATTGAGCTTGTATGTTTGACAACTAACTATTTGGTAGCCAAAAGTGACCTATTGGTGATTAAAACTTTAGTCGCCATATATTTTTTAACAATAATTAAATATATATATTTTTTACTTTTAGCGACTAAATTATTTGATAGCCAATTGAGCTTGTATGTTTGACAACTAACTATTTGGTAGCCAAAAGTGACCTATTGGTGATTAAAACTTTAGTCGCCATATATTTTTTAACAATAATTAAATATATATATTTTTTACTTTTAGCGACTAAATTATTTGATAGCCAATTGAGCTTGTATGTTTGACAACTAACTATTTGGTAGCCAAAAGTGACCTATTGGTGATTAAAACTTTAGTCGCCATATATTTTTTAACAATAATTAAATATATATATTTTTTACTTTTAGCGACTAAATTATTTGATAGCCAATTGAGCTTGTATGTTTGACAACTAACTATTTGGTAGCCAAAAGTGACCTATTGGTGATTAAAACTTTAGTCGCCATATATTTTTTAACAATAATTAAATATATATATTTTTTACTTTTAGCGACTAAATTATTTGATAGCCAATTGAGCTTGTATGTTTGACAACTAACTATTTGGTAGCCAAAAGTGACCTATTGGTGATTAAAACTTTAGTCGCCATATATTTTTTAACAATAATTAAATATATATATTTTTTACTTTTAGCGACTAAATTATTTGATAGCCAATTGAGCTTGTATGTTTGACAACTAACTATTTGGTAGCCAAAAGTGACCTATTGGTGATTAAAACTTTAGTCGCCATATATTTTTTAACAATAATTAAATATATATATTTTTTACTTTTAGCGACTAAATTATTTGATAGCCAATTGAGCTTGTATGTTTGACAACTAACTATTTGGTAGCCAAAAGTGACCTATTGGTGATTAAAACTTTAGTCGCCATATATTTTTTAACAATAATTAAATATATATATTTTTTACTTTTAGCGACTAAATTATTTGATAGCCAATTGAGCTTGTATGTTTGACAACTAACTATTTGGTAGCCAAAAGTGACCTATTGGTGATTAAAACTTTAGTCGCCATATATTTTTTAACAATAATTAAATATATATATTTTTTACTTTTAGCGACTAAATTATTTGATAGCCAATTGAGCTTGTATGTTTGACAACTAACTATTTGGTAGCCAAAAGTGACCTATTGGTGATTAAAACTTTAGTCGCCATATATTTTTTAACAATAATTAAATATATATATTTTTTACTTTTAGCGACTAAATTATTTGATAGCCAATTGAGCTTGTATGTTTGACAACTAACTATTTGGTAGCCAAAAGTGACCTATTGGTGATTAAAACTTTAGTCGCCATATATTTTTTAACAATAATTAAATATATAT